AGGGAATGATGAGGTGAATGCCCTGGGTGCCCTTCTTAAATGGTAGAGGACCTGGGAAAATTTCTCCAAAGATCCCCCCTCTCCAACCAGAGAGAGAAGAGGGGTAGAGGAGATACGAGTTTCAGTTGATTTCACCTTGAAGAATGTTAAGTTCTCTTCAATACCTACTGCCCCTGAGGCCCTTCCCTCCTAGATGGAGAGGTTGGCGGGGAAGGGTAGGGCAGGTCGCATGGGAGAGTTCCTCTAAGATCTTCTTCCATTTAAGGATACCCAAGGCATTCACCCCATCATTTCCCACCCAGCTGCTCTCCTAGACTTCATGATCTCTAAAAGCTCATTATCCTGCAAGATACCAACTCTGAAACTCATACTTCTTCAGTGAGGCTTAATCTATTGCTGCAGTGATATGGGGTAGTATGCAGTTAGGGGAAATGTTTGCAGAAGTCAAAATTATGCAGAAGAGGAAAATATTTGGAACAGTTGCTGTGGAGAATGATTTAGCTAGTCTGCAAAACTAAAGCACAAGAATTGTCAAGTAGCAATGGATAAAATTAGTCAAATTTTGTGACCTGTTCCCACAAAGTTCAGCAGTATGAGAACATAAATTTGATGAGGAGGTTACCCTTCTAGGGGAAAGGATTTGGAAGTGGATAAGGTCAGGGAAAAGGTGATTCAAAAGCAATAACCATTGAAAAATTAAAGTGATAGACCATGGAATCAGGGCTTCCTGTAGAGACAAGTGAAGACATTGTGAGAAGGATGATCTAGAAAAAATTAGTAATACATCAAGATCAAGTGATAAGTCACAATAAATCCAAACAGAATGTTTATTAGTATAGATTGGGAGAAGTAGAAGGCTATGTGGCCAGAGGGTAGAATTTCAGCATGTTTTAAGAATAATATGCCAGTGTTGTGCAAGATGACATGTAGTAGAAAAAGACTAGTGGTAAGTAGTCTAGTTTGGAGGCTAGTACAATAGTCTGGGACTGAGATGGTAAGAGCTTTTACAGAGTGATTTTAGTAATAAACAGAAAGAAAGGAATATAAGAGATTTTTTTAAGGTTTATCTTTTCTAAAAGGTTCCTATCATGAAGTGGGGGCCCAGCACAGGTAAGCATTTTACATATACAGAATTCTACTTTAAAAAAAAAATCTGGTCTTGTATGATTCAGGTTTCACTATAATTGGAATGAAAATTTCAATTCACATTTTTGACATATTTAGTTAATATACTTTTTTCTGAAAAGTTATTATCTCTTATTTTGAAGTTGAATTAAAAGAGTTTTTACTTGTTATTAATTTTTTTAATCCCTGCATTAAACCTATATTTTTTTCCTGAAGATATTCAGTGTTTATATGAAAGAGGAATAAATTAAATATGCTTTGTCATATTTAATGCCTAGGAGGAAAACTGCTCTAATTCTATTTGAATGATCAAAGTATTTCATCCCTTGGCTGCATTGAAAAAAGCAGAGAATAGCTTTCCTCTAATTCTTAGGGGAATATGGCAACACAAAAAACTGCCAGATTGCTAGATTGCATTGATAACACTGCTAGGCTTTGTGCCAAAAGGACATCTCACCTTTAAAAAAAAAAATAAGAACATGTCCTTTCTGCAAGGTGAAATCTTTTTTCTTTTGAAGGAAAATTCCAGCATTTTCTTTTGAAACACCGACTTAAATAAAAAAGCCTGAATAAATATAGAGATGTGGCAGTGTCAGAATAATATCATGCAGTCTAAAGATAGGGTTTATATAAACAGTATGGTTCAGCAATAACATTCTAAGCATCTGCCCTTTGATAAAACTTTAAGAAGACTGAAACTTAGGGCATTTATAAAAAGAACAGTTACTGAAAAGTATTTAATACTTTCAACTTGTAAATTAAATGTCATCCTGTTTTTAAATTGTTACTTTAAAATTACACATGAAAGAAAAACTTTTTTTATAGTTTACAACTTAGGAATTTAAGTAAAAAGTCCTCAAGAACTCCTAGGAAAGGGACAGCTAGGTGATGAGGTGGGTGGTGCAGTATACTGGCCCTGAAGTCAGGAGGACCTGAATTCAAATCTCGCCTCAGACACTTGACACTTACTAGCTGTATGACCCTGGGCAAGTCGCTTAGCCCCAGTTGCCTCCAAGAAAAAAAAAAAGAACTCTTGGGAAAAGGGAAATAACTTCTGATTAATTACTATTCATCATAAGAAATGTTCCTGATTGGAGCTTTACTACTTTTGACCATTACAGGCATGGGGGCCAGTCAGAGATAATACCTAGGACTAAGAAATGGAGTGTCTTGTTTGTAGAACAGCCAGGAGGCCAGCATTACTGGATCAAAAAGTATATGACTGGGAGTAAGGTATAGAGACTGGAAAAGTAGGAGGGGATTGGGTTACGAAGAACTTGGAATGCCAAACAGTATTTTTTTTATTTGACCCTGGAAGTGATAGGGAACCACAGGAGTTTATTGAGTGGGGGGGGTGTCAGGGTCAGACCTGCACTTTAGGAAATCACTTTGGCATCTGAATCACAAGGAGCTTACATTGTATTGGAGAAAATAAACATACATACATACATACAAGTATATATATATATATATATGTGTGTGTGTGTGTATATATATACACATAAGTATATTCAAAAAGTATACACATAAGATATTTGTGTATACTTTGTCCATAAGTATACACATAAGTATATTCAAGATTGATATGAGATCGTTTTGGGTGAGAATCTTCTCACCTGTCCCCCTTCTTCCAATATATCCCTTCCTCCCCTTCATTTTTTTTTTTAGAGAAAAGTCCAACATAATTGACTCATACTCATGCCCTCTATGTAAACTCCTTTTAACTACCCTAATAATAATAAAGTTCTTAGGAGTTACATGCATCATCATCCCGTATAGAAATATAAACAGTTTAACTTTATTGAGTACCTTATGATTACTCTTTCATGTTTACCTTTTCATGATTCTCTTGAATCTTATGCTTTGCTATAACATAAAGTATTTCTTAATTTATTACTTATTTATTTATTTTTAGCATTCTTTTCTTTTTAAATTTTGAGAGTTCCAAATTCTCTCCATACCTCTGACCCCTTCCCCCACCTACTGAGAAGGCAGGCAAACTTATATTGATCATAGATGTGAAATGATGTAAAACATATTTCCATATTAGCCACGTTGCCAAAAAAAAGCAAAAAAAAAATTAAGTGAGAAAATTATATTTCAGTTTGCACTCAGAGTTCATCAGTTCTCTCTCTGGAGGTGGAGAGCATTTTTTTCATCATGAGTCATTGTATTGATCAGAGTAGCCAAGTTTTTCATTTTTCATCATTATAACACTACAACATTACTGTTACTGTGCATAGTGTTCACCTAGTTCTTCTCACTGCACCTTGCATCAGTTCATATATGCCTTTTTATGTTTTACCATGTTTTATTGTTTCTTGATGTCTTATGAAGTCATTAGCTTCCACTTTCCTAATTCTAATTTTTAAAATTATTTTCTTCAGTGAGATTTTTGTGCCTTTTTTTCCATTTGGCCAATTCTGCTTTTTAAGGAGTTCTTTTCACTCATTAGGCTAGTTTTGGTTTTTAAGTCATTATTTTCTTCAGTGTTTTTTTGTACCTCTTTTACCAAGCTGTTAATTCTCTTTTCATAATTTTCTTACATCACTGTCATTTCTTTTCCCAATTTTTCTTTTACCACTTTTATCTCTTTCTTTAACTCTTCTAGGAATTTCTTGTTGGGCTTGGATCCAGTTAGCATTTTTCTTTTAAGCTTTCTTTAAAGCTGTTTTCATGTTGTTGTCTTCTTCTGAGTTTATATCTTGGTCTTCCCTGCCACTATAGTAGTTTTCTATGATCAAATTCTTTTTTGTTGTTTGCTCATTTTTCTAGCCTATATATTGACTTTGAACTTTATATTAAAGTTGGGCTTTGCTCATCTAGGGTTAGGGAGGCACTGTCCCAAACTTCAGACTTTATCATGCTGTTTTCAGAACTAAGTTTTGGTTTTTGTTGTTTTTTTGGGGGGGGGGGGGGGGTTAGGAGGGAGGAGGTCTGCAAGTTTTTGGTGTTTCGAAGGTGGTATGATCCTGGGAGAGGTATAGTCACTGCTATCCTTGTCTGTGTGCTGGTCTTTACCAAGCAGGGGGCCCTAGTCCTCTCTAGCTGCATACTAGTGCACCTCTTCGCCTTGGAATGGTGACCAAGGTCCCTGGTCCCTTGTGGAACTGTGACCCAGAACCACATGTGGGCAATAGAGTTGCCAGAGTAGTAACAATTGAGTACGCAGTGCTAGCAAAGGGTTCCATGTAATCTCTTTCTGACCAGTTGTCCAATGCCCTTACTGTCTGTGGGCTGAGAGTTCCTAAAGCTGCTCATGCTGCTGCTATCTCCCCTGTGTGGGAGCTCTGGATAGACCTCCACCCCAGTGGTACAGACTTCTCCTGACTACCTCTTAAATTTTCTTAGGCCAGAAAAATATCTCACCCTGATTTTTTGTTGTCTCTGCTGCTCCAAAATTTGAGGTATTATTTTAAAGTTGTTTAGAGGGGAATGTTGGGAGAGTTCAACTGGGTGGCTGCCCCTAATCTGCCATCTCGCCTCTGCCTCCTATCACATAAAGTATTAATGATATAAAATGATTGGTCTATGATATTAAAGGCAATAATTCTATTCCCCAATATTACCATTATAAATGTTCCACCATACCAAAATGAAAATATTTTCAAAGAAGATCATTGAGATTTTACAATTAGTTTTCTAATTATGTTCTTTTTTTTCTTTTGGTGAGGCAATTGGGGTTAAGTGACTTGCCCAGAGTCACACAGCTAGCGAGTGTTATGTGTGTGAGGCCAGATTTGAACTCAGATCCTCCTGACTCCAGGGCTGGTGCTGTATCCACTGTACCACCTAGCTGCCCCCTCTAATTATGTTCTTTTAATTATGTGAACATCTAGTTCTCTCTCACTTAATATTTTCTGTTTCTTTTCTAGGATTGATTTCATATACTGAATATCTATTTTTGCTGACAGTTATCACCAGTAAGTCCACTACAATTTCCTATGTACACACAAAAATAATGTAGTTTTCTTTGTTCACTGAAATACACTGTTGAAAGTATAATATGAAGATGTCATTAGCAGTAACAAATATTGTTGAGAATATACTTTGTCAGGCACTGCTTTAGGCACTAGTAGTGCCTTCCCTCTGAAATTACCTTTACTTTTTATATTTGTTAAATATGCATAGTTATTTATGTGTAGTTTACCTGATTAGAATGTGATCTCTTTGATATCAAGGACTATGATTTTTGACTTCCTTTATATCCTCAGTACTTAGCACAGTGCCTGGCATTATAGTAAGCACTAAATAAATGGTTTATACTTTCCTCAAAACTAAATATTTGGACAGAAACTTAAGATTCTGTAATTTTTCAAATTCAAATGGATTCCATGTCAGATTAATGTAATCTGGGCCAAAGTATGTATAAAAGTTAAAAACTGATTATTTAGTGAAGCACATTATCAGGGTTTGAATTGAAACAGTCCATTAAATGCTGCACAGCATGGTTGACATGGGATTAGATTTGGACTTAAAGATCCAGAGTTTAGGTCTCAACTATGCCACTTATGAGTGTTTTGTATTAAAAAAAAAAAAAAGCCCTTATGTAGGAAAAAGAATGTGACCATAGAGATTGGTCAGCAGAACAGCCAAGAAACAGAGATAATATGGTAGAGTTGTGTTTCTAAGCCACAGATAGAGCAAAAAAGAATAAAATAAATAATCTTAAATTTTTGTGTGTGTTGAATGAAACATTAATGAGTAAAAATCTTTTTTGTGGGTAGAGAGTAGAATGTATTAGCATGTTTCAAGAGAAAATTTAATAGACCAGAAACCAGAATACCAGAGTTCTTTTCTGTATTTCACCACTTTGTGACTTTGGGCAAGTCATTTACCTCTGACTGAGGGTTTCCCATTCCTATCCCCTCTCCCCAGACTCCAGACCCTTTCTATCCTATACTCCTTATCAAAACTTAGCTAACCTTCTATCACTCTTATCTAACAGTGCTGAGTTAACAGTACAAAAAAAATTGGTTTAAAAAGTAAGGTGTAGAAGAAATCTTAGCTAGTTGTTCTCACATAAAAGGTTAATTAGCATTTGAAACTTAAGAATGGAGAAACAGAAATCCACTGGATTTCTGAAATATATTTGGTGAGAAAGAAAGATAGAAAGGGAAGGAAGAGAGGAAGGGGGAGAGAGAAAGAGAAGAAAAGAGAAAAGAGAGTCAGTCCTGACACAAGTCACCAAAAGATCAGTTTTCAAAGAATTTTTAGCTTGAGAAGAAATAAGAATCCTTGAGAGACAGAATGGCATAATCAATAGATAGCCTCAGTCAGGAAGACCTAGGTTCAATCCCTACTTCTTACACATACTAGCTATATGATCCTGGGCAAGTAATTTAATTTCAATCTTCTAGATCAATGGTGTCAAATTCAAATAGAAATGGATCCCTGTGGGCTACATGTTAACTTAGAAAACCACAAATTAACATTATCTATGTTATATTGTATTTTTATTTATCTTGTTAAGCATTTTCCAATTACATTTTAATCTAGTTTGGGCTTCCTTTGGAGTTTTGCATTGACATCTCTGCTCTAGAAAATCCTCTGAGACTATAAGTTGTAGAGAACGTGCTTTAATAGAATGAGTTCCCTCATCTTGGACTTCTCAAATCATAGGTCCACAATCTCTATCACTAACTATTATGGTTCAAGTAACTAATTTCTGATTTGAAGAACTGTGCCTGAAAGTAATTCTTATCACATTAAGATTTATAAGAACATATTTTTTCACACATTATTGCAGAACCCCACACTGGGTTTCATGTTGCTTTTAAGATGCTGGATGTAGATGGAGATGAGACTGTTGATAAAAAGGAATTCTTTAAGGTAAGTTGCTTCAGGTTATTTTAAGTTATTTCAGATTTGCTCATAAGAATTAAAAATTATGTTCTAAAGTATTCTTTCATGTTACTGTTGACATTTTGTCTGTTCATGAAAAATAAAATTATGCTGAGTGGGTAATAAATGTATCAAGGACTATCATTATTAAAATTTAGAAATTAAATAAAGTGGAGGATAGCCTTTAGAAAAGTGATTGTAAATTTAAATAATGAATATAGTAAATACAGAGAAGACTCCGGACTCACATCTCCAGCTGCCTGTGTGACATCTCAAACTGGCTCCCCTATAGACCACCTTAAACTAAACATGTCCAAAACTGAACTCATTCTCACACCACCACCCCAAACCCTGTCCTCTTCCTAACTTTCCCATGACTGTTAAAGGTACCACCATCCTCCCACAGTCACCCAGGCTTCTCACACTCTCTCACCACCACCCCCATATCTAAACTGTTGCCAAGTCCTATCAATTCTAGCTTTGTAACATCTCTCCCATATACTCCCCTTTCTTTTGTCTGACACTGACATTGTCACTACCCTGGTGTACATGCTTATCACATAATGCCTGGACTATTGCAGTACCCTCCTAGTTGAACTCCCTGCCTTGTCTTTCCTTACTACAGACCATCCTCCATTTATTTTCCTAAGTGCCAATCCCACCCTTATTCCGCCCTTTACTCAATAAACTCCAGTGGTTTCCTGTCACCTCAAAGATCAAATATAGTATAAAAACCTCTGTTTAGCATTCAAAACCCTTCTTTACTTGGACCCCTCCTACTTTTCCAGTCTTCTTACTTATCACTCTCACACACACACATATACCCTGTAATCTAATAACACTAGCCTCCTTGGTGTTCCTCCCACAAGACACACTCTCTCTCCTGACTCCTTCTATTTCCACTGAATGTTCCCCATACTTCCTCATCTCTGACTTCTGGTTTCCCTGGCTTCCACCAAGTCCTTCCACAAGAAGCCTTTCTTGATTTCTATTAATGCTAGTGCCTTCCCTCTGTTAATTATCTCCAGCTTAACTTGGACATAGTTGTTTACGTATTGTCTTTATTAGACTGTGAATTTCTTGAGAGCAGGAATTGTCTTTTGCCTTTCTATCTCCAGTGCTTAGCACAATTCCTGGCACATTGTAGGTATTTAATAAATGCTTGTTGATTGACTGAAGTAAGCAGAACTAGGAAAACAGTATCAAAAATGACTACAATAATATAAATGGAAATAAAAGCAATAAAATTAAAATTGAGTGCTTTCATATGATGATGACCAAGCTTGGCCCTAAAGAAGAAATATGAAAAGGCACCTATCCCTTTTTTATAAGTTGTTGCTGTTTGTCCTTCATTCTCAATGAGGACAATGACATCAGGGAGGTGATGCCATGACATGCAAGTGAATTGGATTTAAGTGAGGGGGGCTGTGCACAGTCAGCAGCCTCACTTTTTCCTCCTCCAGAGCCATCTGGGTCCAGTGGCCAGATATGGATCAGGACAACTGGAGATAGCCCAGGATGCAGTAGGGGACCTTGACCTTTTCAAGCTAAGGTCTTTAACTGGACTCAGTTTGATTGAGTCAGCACCCATTCACTGATTAAGGCTTAATAAAAAATGAGGCAAAGAATGGCCTCTTTAAAAAAAAAAAGTAGATCTGGGAGGGGAAGACACTCAGAATTTCTGACAAAAACAGAAACAATTGTTATTTACATTCGTTCTGAGCCAATCAGGCCCAAAGTAACCAAGTAGGGCTTTATATAAGTAGGGGTCTGTGGGTGTGGAAGATTGCAATAAACATCAAACTTCTGCAATCAGTTGATCAATTTTGCCCTTTGTTTTCCTCCTCCTTTGCCATAACGGAAACCACAATGGACAATGTAGGTGATTTAAAAATGGACATCAGTAATTTTAAATAGGCAGGAGCCAAACAAAAAAAAAAATTTAAGCATCTTTATAAGTGACCTTTAACAAGCTTAAGAAGCTAATTGAAAGGGCTTCATAAGTACCTGAAAATACATAAGAAATTTGCCCAAATTATTATAGAACCATTTTTAAGAATTCACAAAGGAATGGCAAAGTACCTAAGAACAGGAAAAGGTTTAATGTAGTACCTCATCTTATTTTTAAAGGAAAATTAGGTAAATACTAGGGGAAAAAATAGTATAATATCAGTTTGCAAATGTCTGGAAGACTACCTAGTATTAGATGGTAAATGACAGTGTGGTAAAGATCAAGTGCTACCAAATAAGTTTGTTCTCTTTCTGAGTCAAAGTAAAAGGGCTTTGTAGATTGAGGAAGAAGTAATATGTAATTTTTCATAATTACAGAAAATCTTTTTGCTATACTCATCAATATACTTATCTCAGTACTTCAGGGATCCATGATTTTATCAATGTGGAATCACTCTTGACATACACAGAGCCCAGTTCTTTACAGTCTCCATGAGTTTCTGTGGCCAAAAAATTTGCAGTCATACAGCCAGTGTTCTGCTGATGAATCTTTCCAGGCCGAAATTGGTCCTCAAATGACAGAGTCCATCCTCCAGCCTTATACTCTGAAGCTTTTTCAGATTGCTGTCGGCCAGAGTTTGTACTATACTGGTATAGCTTACAAATACAAATGTACACAGTTTAAATGTGTGTGGGTACAGGAGGAGGGAGGGACCCAGAAAGAAGAGAAATGTTAGAGGGAGGGCCTAACTAACCTTGTTTCCATTTTTAACATAGTTACTAAACTTAGATGAATGGAATGCTGTAGATTTAGTTTACCTAAATTTTAACAAAAAAAAAATTGCAGGGGCCGCTAGTTGGTGCAGTGAATAAAGCACCAGCCCTGGAGTCAGGAGGACCTGAGTTCAAATCCAGCCTCAGACACTTGACACTTAACAGCTGTGTGACCCTGGGAAAGTCACTTAACCCCATTGCCTAGCACCCTCCCCCCCAAAAAAATTGCTAAACTATCTCGTACTGGTTTTGTGGAAAATATGGTGAGATATAGCCTAGATGATAATAGAATTAAATAGATGTGGAACTGGTTGAATGGCCAGACTCAGAGTAGTCATTAAAGGTTCTATGTCTGCTTGGAAGGATGTCGCCAACTGATTGTCCCCAGGATTTGTATTTAGATAGATGTTGTTTAGTATTTTTTTCCAATGATGGCCTTCTTTTTTGTCTATATATTTTCAGTTTAATTTTTGATGACTTTTGTTTTTATACCACCTTTATTTCGAAATATATCCCCCCATTGTCCCCTATCAAGAGTCACCCTTTATAACAAAATATAAAAAAGAAAGAAAGGGAAGAGGGGAAATAATTCTAACATACTAACATACACATCAAACAAATCTGACAGTTTATGCAGTGTACCACACCCATAGCACTCATCTATGCAAAGAAGGGAAGGAGGTACATTTTCTGTTTTCATCCTTTGGGTCAACCTTGATTGTTATAACAAAAAAGCACTCATTTTTGTTGTTGTTGTTATGGTTGCAGGTTTTTTGTTCTTTTCATATGCAGTGGTATAGTCATTGTCTATATTGTTTTCTTGGTTCTTATTTCACTTTGTATCCATTCATACAAGTCTTACTTGCTATGATTCTACGTATTCTTCATATTCATTGTTTCTTACAACATAGTAATATTCCTTTACATTTATGGACCACAATTTATTTAGCCATTTCCCAATCAATAGACATCAACTTGTTCTTTGCTACTGCAGAAAGTGCTGTTATAAATATTTAGCTTTATATGAGATCTTTCTATATTTTATCTCCTTGGGACATATGCCTAATAGAGTCTGGGTCAAAAGACGTGGACAATTTTGGTCATTTTCTTAGCGTAATTCCAGTTTGTTTTCTAGAATGGTTAAACCACTCCACAGCACCACCAATAGTGAATAAATATGCTTGTCTTTCTATGATGGCTCCACAATACTGACTACTTCCATCTTTTGTCATCGTCACCAGTTTGCTAGATAAGAAGTAAAGCTTTAGAGTTATTTTGATTTGCATTTCTCTTTATTTTAAATTCTCTATAGCATTCTTTCATATAGTTGTTTATAAGTTGCAGTTCTTTTGAGAACTATTTGTTCATCTCCTTTGACAACATATCTATTGGGAAATGGTTTTCAGTCTTATCTATTTTTTCTTACAGTCAATTAATAAACACTTATTAAGTGCCTATGATACACCAAGCACCATGCTAAGTGCTGGAGATACAGAAGGAGGCAAAAAAATAATTCCTACCCTCAAAGAGCTCAGAGTTAATAGAGAAGACAACATGTAAACAAATATATAAAAACAAGCTATATGCAGGATAAATAGGAAATGATTAACATAAGGAAGGTACTAGAATTAAGAAGGATTGAGAAAGGCTTTCTGTAAAAGATGGGATTTTAGTTGAGAATTAAAAGACACCAAGAAAGTCAGTAGGCAGAGTTGAAGAGGGAGAACATTCCGGGTATGGAAGATAGAGAAAATGGAAGATAGAGCCACAAGATGGAATGACTTGTTAATAGAACAGCAAGAAAGCCAGTATCACTGGATTAAAAAGTATCTTGTAGGGAATAAGGTATAATAAGACTGGAAAGGTAGGAGGGGACTAGGTTGTGAAGAATTCTGAACACTAAACAGAGCATTTAGTATTTGATCCTTGAGGCAAGAGGGAGCCAATGATGTTTATTGAGTCAGGAGGATGACATGATCAGACCTGTGTTCTAGGAAAATCTGGCTGAATGGAAGATGGATTGGAGTGGGGAGAGACTTAAGGCAGGCATACCCACCAGTAGGCTAATGCAGTAGTCCAAGTGTGAGGAGATGAGGGCCTGCACCAGTGTGGTGGCAGTGTCAGAGGACAGAAGGGGTAGTATTCAAGAGATGTTGCAGAGTGGGGTGAGAGGACTATTGAGAAGTCCAAGATGACTCCTAGGTTATAAGCCTGAGAGATTAGGAGGAGGAGGTTGCCCTTTACACTAATAAGGAGTGAGGTAA